AGACTGGAAAAAGAGAAACACAAACTGGGTGAGTTTCTTGGACAAAAGTCAGATTACTGATGTGTGAAGAAGCAGGGACTTCAGACAACTTAGCACAAAACTTCTTATGTTTCTTGTGCAGAGAAAGAGCTACTTGCATACAAGATGAAGGACAAAGATGGTATTCTAGCCAACAAGGACTCTGACAGTGGTAACAGAAAAAGTTTTGTTGGCAATTATTGATGTACTATTAGCTATGAAGGAAACAGCTAATCAGAAGGCAGTGTCAGCTTGACCCTGCTTAGTCTTGAAGGTCCTTAAGTGTAAAGAGCAGTAATAATTCATTCTGCATTTCTTTATTCTCTTTCAGTGCTCATGTTCTCATTAGGCATTAGTCTCTTTTCCTTTAGCTTTTTCACTGAGATATTGTCTATGTATTTGAACAATCTTTGTTCCTTCTTCTAGATGATGATGATTTATATGAAGCACTTGCTCAAATGCTCAGCAAAAAACACGTGACCGATACGGACTTAGACTGGGACCTGGAGGCCATTTCCCATGGAGACTTTCGAGATGTGCCTCAAGGTTGTTTGACTTCCTTTTCAAAGCATTCATGTCCATAAAATATTCTTACTTTCCTACAGAAGTACTTTACATCAATGAACATTCAAAGAAGCCTGTCAGTGATTAAACTGCTCAATCATTTTAGCTATTTATTGAAAACCTCATTCGTGGTATTGACCTAGCCTGCATTTGACCCCTCCCCCCTGGAAAAACGTCCTTGTATATTCTCCACTCATCGACCCTTGTTTAAGAAAAAGTTGCTTACGCACTTGACTTGACGACGAACCTAGGACAATAGTCTTATTTCTTTCAATCAAAAGTTACTGACATACAGGATGATTAAAGAAGCGTTTTGGGAGGAAAGATGCTGGAAAAGCAATAAAGTAACCTGCACTTTCTGACCGAACATAACTAACGCAACTTTTGGTAGAAGCACGAAAGGAAAGGATGGTACTCTTAGGGAGTTTTAAAAACCAGCCTAATACTTATAACTTACAATTTTTAAGTTTAGAGGCAGCTCGCGAGAATTCTGAATACAGACATACATAGACCATTATTCTGTTTTAACTACTGCAAATCGCCTTTTAGTCTTTAGACAGCCATTCAAACAAGTGCCTCAGAAAGGTTTGGTTTAACCCTGTAACTCCCATGTGACCAAAACAGAATTTCTCCTTACGATATCAATACAATATCAAACGGATAAGTGATAGGAATAAAGAAAAATATCAATTACGGGATCATCAGTTGATCCAATACCAAATTCTCGGAACTAACGTCATAAGAACTGTATGGAAGTCAGTAAGGAGAATCCTGATGAGATCTTGGGAATGAAAGGGTTAAAATGAGGACAAGGTAATTTTTACTGATAATGATTCTTTCAAATTTTTCAGAGGATGAGGAGTTGGTTTCTTCGTTTATCACAAGTCGCAGTGAAAAACAGCTTGTTCAGCAGATAAAACGCAGCTTAATGGCCACTAAGAACTATAAAGATGTTACAATAAACAGCGTCAAAAAGGTGACTTGAAAGTTCATCAACAATCGATGCAATCTGTTATATGCGATAAAGACACTTTTCAACAACCGAGAACATTCATTTGAGACTTTCTGTTTGTAGGCTTGCGTAGGCTTCTCAATGCCATTAGAGCTAGTGACGGAAGTAGATGTTTATAGTCTTTCTGTTGGTTTTAATCGGGGATTTGTCGAGATTATTCCTAGGAGGGGTTCTTTACCAGTTCCCTCTGTGCATTTCCCTGTCGCTGTGTTTTTGCATAGTTACGAAGAAAGGATCAATATCAGTATCTGGGCAACTGCTCACCTACCCCTCCCCTAACCCAACATTAACCCTATCTTGTTATCAATTGACTGTTGTTGAGTTAGGGGGGGGGGGTAGGTGGGCAGTTGCCCAGATACTGATATTGATCCCGAGCAAATTACCTTACAGGCAGTACTTTGTTTAATTATACATACACAAGCACTCCATAGCTACTATAAGGCTGGGACTTAATAGCGTGCTTAAGCTATGTACTATGCTTTCATTCTCGCTCAACTTCTGTAGGTAGAGTCTTGCCACATTGCTTTCATGGAAACAGGTTTTGACGCAAGAACTCAAAGACTTGGTGACCCTGTGGTGTGCACACAGTTGTACTACTGTAGCGGCACAGACGATAAACAAATTGAAAGAATAATGAAACAAGGTTTCAGTAAAGAAGGTATGATGTGGTCTATAGTATATCTTTTGTGTATTTTACCCGCCCTAAGTTATTACTTAATTTACTTATTGACACATCCCAGTGTTTTGCTTTAAGTTGAATCAGATTTGTCCATATTTAACTTTTTAGATTTCACTCGTGGTCCGTACGGCAAAGGTCTTTATTTTTCGATGCAAGCCAGTCAAGCAGCAGCCTTTTCATCGGTAAGGAATTTTTCATCGCGTATTTCCGAATAAAATTCCCTTTTAGAACAATTTTCAATTGAGCGTTGAAGGTTATCCGGGAATACTTTGCTTTCTTCTCTACTTCGCTCTGTGATTGGTCCAGAAAACTCGCACTACTCTCACAACTCGTCAGATGCAACACTAAAACCAATCATGACTTTGCCGCCCGCGTTTTCAGAAATACACTGAACTATTTCATACTACCACTAAACTGATATTCGAAGTCTTACCAGATTAGTAGGCAACAGATGCGTAGGCTTCCTCGACCGTGTAGCTAAACAGGAAAACACGTCTTCTTAAACCGGTAAAACCTACCGGTAGGCTTTTCTAGCGAGCGTTTTTTCTTCTCATTGTAGGTGCGCGCCCGACAGGTCCTTTGATATGACCTTTTGCGCAAAAAATGATTGCCTCTCGCAGCCTACACTGTTACTGGGAACACCAATGCGCGCGTAGCTACCTTTGGTGAACGGTGGAGAATGTGCAAACATTACGATAATTGAAACATTTGTTGGAAACTACATTTGGTGAAAAATTGACACGAAAGTTAGTTTAACGCATGTAACTTGTTTTGGACAGCAACCTCATGCACGAATAATATATATTTTAAAATTTTCAGCCTGGAAAGCTGCTATTGTGTAATGTTGGACTTGGTTTGACTGAATCTGTGGTGGTTCATGATCGTGGAAGGTAAATAAATCAACTTAATCGCTTGGAAAACGCGACTCAATTTTGAACAGGTTAATGATTTATAAGACATTGACTATTTGGTTGTCTTACTAAGTAGAATGCTAATATAGTCATACAACTCTGACAAAAAAAGAGCTCGAAATTGATAGAAGAATTCTCCGTGTCAGCACTTTAGGAAATGTAGATAGAGCAGTATGAAGAATATACACGCTGGAGTTAGGATGTAAAGGGGTTAATCTCGTGCTTTTTATGTTTAGAACGTTACCTCCTCCAGGATTTGATTCTATTTTGGTGAGTTGTTGTGTTACTTAAATTACAATTGTAATTTTTAGGTTCTTCAGGAGAAATACTTTTTAGAACTTGGCTCTAATACGTCATTATTTTATCTCAATAGACTGGTGGTCGTACACCCTCGCCCGTCTTTCCAGGCCCCCCGCAGCAGGAGTATATTGTGTTCGATCCTTTACAGGTAAAGTGTCTTTGCTTGACAAAAATTCACTCGGAAAAAGTGATTTCTTATCAATTAGCTTGTTTTCTTGTCGCTTGGTTTGCTGAGTATAAGCCATTTGACATTTGCGCACAGTTTGTTTACTTATTTATTCTTTTTTCATTCTTGTTTTACTTACTACATCCCCAGGCCATTCCTGTCTATCTCGTGGAGTATTCAACCTCTCGATGACTTCTCGTACTTAGCTAAGTACGGCTTATCAACTGGACTGCTTATTCAAAGAATGCAGATCGTGTTTCGGAGCAAAAGTCTCCCCTGAAACTGGTGACGAAAAGTGTGTCGGAGAGTCCCAGCAGTTCAATGCCATTTTTCTCATGATATTTCGAAGCGCGGTTATGTAAAATTCTTGTTTTAGATGAAATAAATCTATCAACATGTGTGATATGAATTAAAACTATAGGAGCATAGTTTGGGTTTGACGTTTGACGTGAGGAAAACGCGACCTTAATTCGTAGGCGGACTGTGCGTCTATTGTCACGAGACGATAATCTATCGTTTGTGTTCCTTTTCTTCCTTTTTCGTTGGCCTCTGAGTATAAACTTTCAAGGAAAGAAAGTGGTCCGTCAGGGAAACACTGGACATATGTTTGGCTTAGAAATAGACTGAAGGCAACCTTAACCCTTTGACCCCTACTGAGGGTGATCAGAATCCAATTTCTTCTTACGTTAAATCAATCAAAATGAATCAAACATTTAGATCACAAGAATATAGAAAATGATCATCAACTTAGGAAGCTCTTGATTGTTAAACAAATTCTCCTCATCAGCACTTAAGGAAATGTATGGAGAACAGTATGGGGAATATGCATTCCGATGTTAGGGTGTAAAGGGGTAACGTTGCCAATGACATATTTGCTGGTCTGGGTCTTTCAGGCCAAAGACAAACATATTTAGTTATTTCCTGGATCTATTCTATTGGAGTATTGTGCCTTCAAAACCTGAGGTTTTCTTCAGTCATTAGCACCAAAAATCGCAAAATCATAGATAACGATCACAGCCAAACCGTTGGACCGCTTAGTCCTAAACTACAAAGTTACAACTCGAATGAAAATCAAAATGAAAGTGGCTGAGCCACCTCGGATCCCGTTGTAACCACCAAAAATAGAAAGCTTCAAAACAGGACTTAACCCTACTTAAAGCAGAGCAGCAAGATAAAGCATATCGTGGGAGACGAAGCTCCCATCGCTCTCTTGGGTCCAGTCTTATTCCTCAATCAGCGGTAGACAAACGGTTGTGACGTGCAATGAAAGCATAATTGTGTTATGCAAACAGTCAACCACTATGCACCAGGTGTAAGATGTCCAGTCACGCACTGCAAACTATCATGACTTGGGACTACAGTTGAAATCAGTCATGCATAACGTCGCCCTATCCTGAACCAAGCCACAAATTGACGACTAAAGGGAACCAGCACGATAGATTTTGGCCACAAAGTAAGTTTAAAATGTTTTACTTTCGTTTTTGGGTGTGTATGGCTGATACTAACCCCACGCGTTAAATTAATGTCAAACCCTGCGTGGCACAGTGTTGTGGGTTCAGCTCTAGTTGCTGTTGATCTCTTGGTGATTTAAATAAATAGCTTGTTCCACCGCTAAACTAGGTATAATCAACAGTTGCCAAGGTGCGCTCGGGAGCTTGTTTTGTGAAGCGAGTTTATTTGACGTTTTCATTGGTAAGATCGAAAGGGAAATAAACCTTTCCATTCAGTAATCTCTAGTAGACAGCTGTGAAAATTTGTTTCTAGAATGTGACGTTGCTAAATTGAAGCTCAAACCGTCAGTCGACAATCTTAACAGTTTACCAAGCTACATACATCCAACTACTTTCACTACAGCCGCAGCGAGATCTAGAGAAGTAATATTCACAGATCGCGTTCAGACCGCGGATCATTCCGATCGAGATCTTGCCATCTATGAACGTATTCTTACCTTGGTTTAGAAGACTACGTACAAAACGTTAAGTGACACAGGCGCGTCATGAAAGCGAAATATTCGCTGCTTTGAGATGCTAGACCTCAAGTTTGATTCTGTTTTGAAAGTTATCTTGATAAACGCCCATTCAAAACCAATTCTCTCGGATTAACCTTTGTGATCTCTACTGTACTTTTGAAGAATTCTTCGCATAAAGCTAATCATAACAAATTCACAATTAAACATATTTGATTATGTTGGTCAGCTGAATTTTAAACATCTGCGCCTTCTCTTCAGTTGTCATCTGCTTTATCCCTCCCCTGGGAAATTTCTCACTTTACATTGGACTTAGGATTTTCATTATTTATCCTGAATTCCCCTTTACAACATTAAAGATGCAGAACGTACAGGAAATATCTCTTGAACAACAGCAATAATCTTAATGCTATTGATTTTCCGTTTTTCAGACTGTACTTAGGGCCCCGCTTCTCGCGGACAGCCATGTCTCTATCACGTGACACACTACAGATAAAGCCCAGGGAGGCACGCGAACAATTTCGAAAGGGAAACTTATCTGAAACGCCTATCACTTGTAGCCAGTTTTGTGCAGGTTATCTTCAGGCTAACATCGCCTGTGTGCCATCTGATATAGCGGATGACTTTGAAAGACTGTGTCTCAGTAACAGCTCTCCATTCCCCTTGCTATACCGCAGTAAACCGGGTGAGGTCTCAGCCCCACCTTTGGCGTCAAACTCGGATGCAAGGTAAGCATAGTAACTCTACTGCCTTGGTGCAACTGATTCAAGTCCTCGGGAAATTCCAGTCAGCTAGTACTCGAAACGTAGCTTTACAACGTGGGTGTCACTTCTGGCGTCTCTATCCCCTGGGGTACATTATGCTGCTTTTCAGCCGAAGAGTACGAACAAATTTTCAAGGCCCTCAAAGCTCCATTAAAATCTTAAGGTGTTCAAGCTATGTTTCAGGTGGTAATTGTGTTTTTATGTGCATTACTTCAGGACAGATCTTCCCCTTTATGCAGTGAGTGAAAATGGAGTTGATACTGGAATTAAGGAAAATCTGTTGGAAATTCCTTGGGACGATATGGTTACATTCTACTTTGGTTGCAGTTATTCATTTGATCATTTCCTTGTCACCGCCAAAGTTCCACTTCGTCATATGATCCAAAAACAAGACCCACCGATATACCTCACTGGAATACCGCTCATCCCCCAGGGGCCTTTCTCAGGGAATATGATCGTCACTATGCGGGCAATCCCACGGAAGTTTGTTCCGAAAGTGGCGGAAGTCTGCGTACCGTTAGATTTTGCCCACGGGGCTCCCATTCACATAGGGGCTCCCGCATTAATCGGAATAGAGGAGTTTCACAATCCTCCTATCGGAAATAAGCCAGTATATGATGAAGATGACGTTCTTGTGTTTTGGGGCTGTGGAATATCTGGGAGTGAAGTTATGGCCTCAGCTAGTGAGTGTTTAGAATTTATGTTGATGTTGTTTTTGTGGAGTAAGGAAAATATGAAGACTTTATGACGAACGGGAGAAAATGCAAAAAGTCTGAGAGTAGGAATGTATGGGATTAAAGCAACCTCGATCCCAGGGGTCTGCCCCTCTTCCCGCTGCCTGGAGCAAGTGAGACCCTGGAAACGTGATTGAGATTGTTCACATGTGACGTGCGTTTTGTGTACTGCTGGGATTCGCTTTATGTCAAGTCATTAATTTTGAGAATGCCACCCATAGAGAGGTGCCTTGTCACTGAAGGAGTGTAAATACGCAAGTAAAATATGGCAGCGCGCGCGATTGAGTAAACAACGTGAGGTATGACATGAGTCCAGTATTAATGCGACAAGCGTTACCGGCGGTAACTGGCTAATAGAGCGTTCGTCAATTGAACCCACTGGAAAGTTACTGATCATCAATATTTTCTCTCCTCTTTTTCTAGAGCCTCGCGTTGCTGTCAGTTTGTCAATGAAATGTCTTGGTTCATTATTCATCACAGATTGTTTAGTGACAGAGTATCTCCAACAACATCCTTCAGAGCTGGCCGGTCTGTCGCCAGAGGTGATTTTTCTGTCAGAGTCGCCTCAGTTTGCGTCTTTAGTCTCCCAACAAGCCATGGATGAAATTGTAAACAAAGAGAATGAATTCACATCAATCAAACCCAACGTGTCCAGTAATGGTTTTCAAGAACGGAATGACAAGCTTTTGAAATCAGCTTTAGCGCTTTCTCACGCATCATATGTTGCCATAGTGACACTGCCTCCTCAGGAAGAGGCAAAGCAAGTTTCTGGGAGACAGTTGTCAGCCGTTGTATGCATTGTTAAAGCACTTCTTGCCCAAGATAAAGAAATAACAATTCTAACGCAAAAGAACGCTGTTGCAGAATGGGAGACGTTTTTAGCTGAGTGTGAGTCGCAAAGCATCGTTCTCAAATCTGTACCAGTAGTTCCAATTGCTGGGAAAACGAGTGATTGGTCACGTGATGTTTGTTCAGTCATGGCTATGGTAGTTGACAACCTTGGGCTCAGGTTCAGCTCGTCCAGCCTCAATTCCATGGTTTTTGTGAGCGAACAAGGTCAGAATAAAAGTCTCTCTAGATGGCTAACTACAAATTCTTCCCCAACTCAAACTGAATCCGAAAAATGTAATATTTCGAATGGCAATGAAATTTTTTAACCTAAATATAGGAAGTGTCGAGAACATATGAAAATGCTGTTTTCAATCACGATAAAACTACTTTGAGTACAAACTACATCATCTATGGCTCATGCAAATGATTGTTCCTCCAAAATATTTTTTAGGAATCAGTTCAGTTGAACTACTTCTTGGAAGTTAAGGGAAATTCCCTCAAGTCCAGATTTTGGAGAAAATTAGCCATATACCTTCCACCTATAGACAGTTATTACCAATGTATGGCAATCTACATTATGACAACACCAAATGTAACATTTTTCAACCTTTTTTTTCAGGAATGTTGTCAGTGCAAAGTTCTCTTTCTTTGGGTGCAGATACAAATGACGTGGTGAAAGTCAATGGAGATCACGTGGTCGCGAACGGTCAACCAATTGAAAGTGGTTGTTGGCTAAGCCCCCTCCTGGTATCCATGGCGATATACATCCTGCAGACGTGTCCCATTCACTCTAGATATGCGAGGCGTGGTCGAGGACTTCACGAGGTTAAAGCAGCCAAAGAGTTCTTCGTTACCCCGAGCGACACTCTGGTCATGGAGTGTCAAGAAGTTGAATTTGTACAGAAAATGTTAAATGCAAAGAACTCGCCAAAGATTTGAAGGAGCTCTCATTCTTAATTGCTATATTCTAATGTATGGGGGAGATAACTCATCACAACAATGCAGCTGGTTTGTTTTCAGTTGACTAGCTGTAACGCTCTTTCTGCTCGTTGAGCCTTTCCTTAGTCAGGCATATCAAAAAGTTCCAAGGTCGGAATACAAGGTGTGGTTGTTAAGGTATTTCGTTTTCGAGTAATAATGGAACATTAGTGGCTGCAATAGAATTTGTCATTGTGACAAGAGCAGAAGAAGACGAAAAATAAGAAAAGTAGGATATACAATAAAATATTTGCAGTTCAGAATTCTTTTTGTCTCTTTCTTAACGTGGGGACCTCGGCTTTTTTTTTTTTTTTCCACTTGTACAGCCATTCGGTCCATCGACTGAAAAGGCCCTTTCGCTTATCAGTTGCATTGGAGTTATTTCATTTTTGTTCGGAAGGAATTTTTTAGTCAACATCTATCATTTTGGTAATTGAAAGTCGAGAACGCAATGACTTGTAAGGTGTAAATTGTCCAAGGATTTACCTAATATTGGTACTCAAGCTTTCAACCCGAAAAAGTTTCCAAAGTGTTTATTCTAATCATAGACAAAGGTTCACCAGAACATCGTTCGATTAGGTTTCCTTAGTGACGGTGGGGTAATTCTTTGTAACAATTCCCCAAAATTTACCAACTACTATACATAGGAGAAAATGAGAAGCAGGGAAGAAGTTATGGCTAGCCTCCTAACGAAGCAAAAAGGAATGAATAAAAGGAAGATCAGCAAGACCACAACAGCCAGGTCCGCCGGAATAAGTCACAGAGGCCCAAGGTCTCCGGTAAACAAGACAAAGATCGGTATAAACGCTGATACTTACTAAACCAGATTCAATTAATAATGAAAATGGCATGAAACTGGCAAAGAAAAAAGTTCAGTTTTAGTGCAAACTTTTCTCGGTGGCTGAAAGAAAATGGCTTGAATAGGGATCGAATAATAATGTTAAAATATTCCCTTAAAAATTTTGCAAAAGCTTCCATATCCTTTTGTTTAGTTGCGTTTTCTGTTAGGTTGAAACCATTAAAAACTGACTGAGCCGCGAAGAAACTGAACACATAGCTTTACACTCGGTGAAGTGATATCCCGAGGGGTATAACTAAAATTTATGTGACAGTTAAGATCCATTCACTAACTAGTTTTCAGTCCCCCTGCAGCTTGCATTTAAGGAACTCCTTCCGACTGTTCGATTTGTTGTGGTGGACGCTGATTGATTTCGTCCAGATGGCCTCAGATAGTAAACAACCTGTTGTCTCTACAGCCTGGTTGAATGATCAGCTGAGAAAAAAGCGAGATGACTTTGCAATTTTGGACGTGACGTGGTTCAGCGACAAGAATACTATCCACCATTTCTCAAAGTAAGACTTGAGACCTGCGTTACAGAACTATTTTGATCAACTGCAGTGTATTCGGTCAACATTAGTAACAAAACTCCCCCAAATTCTATTTTTACGTCCTGGTCCATTCTAGATCTCAATAAAAACGGCGAAAAAGAAGCAGATTTGGCAAAAATATAGCAAGTGAAGGAAACCGAAAGAATCAAATATTCCACAAGTCTAGTTAGCCCCCACATGGAGACTGAGGAGCGAGGGGGCGGGGTCGCTTTGAACCAGGGCTTGTTGACATCAAATTGCCAAGGTTTTACTTGAGCATTGCTAGATGAGATAGATTTGGAGATCAATTAGTCGTTTTTATACTTATTTACTTTGTATTTTTATACCCTCATGATTTATATTTAAGTTCACATGGCAACCAGGTGGACAATCAGACATGGTTTGATGCTACTCTGATTTAAAGATTTAATGATTGTAATGGAAAAGTTACAATTCATAGACCCAACGTTTCGACACTCCTGTCCAGTGCCTTCAATAATCACTTCATCATGATTATTCATTTCTCATTTTATCTCTTATTTTAGTTTTTTCCCCTTGTTGTGCTATCCCCTTGTGCCCTTCTATATATAAATCTGAAGAAAGATTTAATGTTCCCAAAATTGTGACTGAGTGGTTTGATTTCCTTAGGGAACATTTAATGCATGCTTCACAAATGGACATCTTCTATGGAGTGGAAAATACTTCTTTGTACCCTCGAAATATTCCTGATGCACCAACCTTCCAGATGAATGCAAGAGGTAGTGCAGTGAATAATGACAATCATGTTGTTATTTATGAAAAAACAGGGAAGTTTGGGTTTTTTACAGGTGCAAGAGCTTGGTGGCTGTTTAAGGTGAGAATGCTCTTAGGCTCATCCCTTTAATCCTTTTACTACTATGATTTCATTAGAAATTCTCCATACTTTCTGCTCTAAAATAATTACAATATTACTTTGGAGCATTTGTTATTGGATCAACTTTAAGTTCCTTAAATCTATATTTTTTAATTCTCATTTCTTTCCTGATTGATTTGTAATGATATTGTATGGAGAAATTCTGTCCTGATCACTCCTGGGAGTTAATGGGTTAATCTGGATCTCTAGCAAATCTACAATTCTAGTAGCTTAAAATTATTCCCCATTGATATCAAGCAACAGCAAACTCTATAAAATAATTATTTTTACTTACATCATAAAAAATAAAACGATGCTAAGGCCATGTTATGGTAGGTTAGCATTTCATTATTTAACTTTCTAACTTGATTGCTATTAAGTTTGATAACACTTGGCACCTAATAATAATGATGTTGGTTTGATAACATTTATCAATCCTTGGACAACAGCATTCTGTTGAATTTTGTATAACCAAATCAGCCCTACCATTTGGTTGTTTGATGAAGCTTGTAATGCATTTTAAACTGTTCTGACTGATAATAAATTAGCATTAACCCTTTGTCAAAATTTTTATAATGATTTATTCAATGAATTAAATTTTCACAGCTGTTTGGGCATGAAAATGTATCAGTTCTTGATGGAGGTTTGGAAAAGTGGATTGCCGATGGATATGAAACAACAAATATCATGGTCAAAAAAAAGGTAACAATTACTTTTTAAGCTCTTTACCCAACCACCATTAAAAAAAAGTTTCTGGCAGTTTTTTCATCTGCCTCGAGGACCAACAGAATGGAACCATAATCCAATCTAGGCAGACTTAACAATACTTGAGTTCAAACAGGTGATTCAACACAAATAATGAATGACCCTTTTTATCATATAGGAGGGTGACTTTACAGCAAAGTTGACTCCGAGATGGCTTAAAAGGTTTGAAGACATGAAAGAAAACCTTACTTTGCAGAAAGCCCAAGTTTGTGACAGCCGAGATCCTAGCTTATTTACAAGATCAGCTTATGGTATTGTATTTATCAGAATTATTTTGATTCAAATTTCTGCTTCAAATGCTGCTTCAACCTATTTAGGGATAAACCCCCCCACACTTTTGATGGGGAAATTTAGAATTGATTTTTTAATGTGAATGCCAGAGGGATTTTCTTTTTTTTTTTTTTTTTGTAGATCCCAAGACTGGCCATTATCCTGGTGCCGTGAATATTCCTTTCCCTAAGCTATTTGATCCTGATACTAAGAGTCTTAAAAAACTGGATGATTTGAAGAAAGGTATGATGATAGTAAAAAATATTACAAGTGCACATAGGTTTGTTGACAACCATCACTTCTTTTACATGTTTTTTTTTCAAATTTTATTTTAAATTATTAGAATGAATACCATAAACAAATTAACACAGCACTTAAGTTAATTAATCCTTTAACTCCCATGAGTGATCAAGACAGAATTTCTCCTTACAATATTAGGACAATATCAAGCAGACAGATGATGAAAATCAAGAAAAATATTAATTTGGGGATTATTGGTTGATCCAATACCAAATTCTCAAAACTAACATCACAAAAAAACTATATGGCAGACAGTAAGGAGAATTACTAATGAGGGTTAATATTTCATAAATAATTTAATTGTGTATAAAGAGTTTTGTGTTACCTATCATACTTCTGTAGAAATTGTCAGTAATTACTTTTCTTTGCATCCCTATTATTTTGATTAATTGTTTATTCCAATTTGTGGAATATAACAACAATGATTAAATTAAATGTTACAATATTAAAACTTCAATAGACCAGATTAAGACGAATTGATAGCTTTCAGCATATCAGACATATCTTTCATACTGTTGATAGTATTTCAAAATAATGAACAAAGAGTTTAAAAACTGGATCATCCTGTCAGCAAATTAGATGTATCAAATAGATATAACTTGTAACCTTTTTTTGGAAATTATTTTCTTTCTTTACAGTTTATACAGATGCGGGAATTGACCTCAGCAAACCATTGATAGGAATGTGTAATAGTGGCATGTCATCATGCTCTTTGGTACTTGCTGCCCATCTTTGTGGATGTCCTGATGTGGCAGTCTACCATGTAAGAGATTTAAAGTTCAATTTGTGCACCATAAGTTTAAGGTTTAGGTGTGAAAGTCACTAGTCCCAAGGTTAGGGGACTTAGGAAGTGTTACACATTTAAGTTTTCATCTGTGAACCCCCAACCAACTGTGGACCAAATCTTACTATTTTATGTATGGAGCATTTCTGACAGAAAGGTTTACTGGTCTTCGAATATCTTCCACTCGGTACCTTGGTCACAATTTAACTTACACAAAAAGAATGTGAAATCAATGGGTGATGTTTACCAAATACATTACTGAAGAATATCAAAAGTGCTTGTAAACATTTAAATAAAAGATTTCCTACCCTTTTACAAAGTTACTTCACCTGGTGACATCCCCACTCCTTTTCCTTGCATAATGCTCCAAAATGGCGTCCCTGTTGTGCCATCATTTGAGTACTTCCAACCACAAGCAGAATAAATTGTGTTTTTCACTGGAATGCATAATTTAATTTTTTTCATTGGTTTCTTTGGTGTAAAGATTGAAGTACAACTTCATTCAATACTCAGCCAATCCAATGATGCTTTATTCTCCAATCTGTATGTTTCACATATTGTTTATGTCTGTTTTTTTGCCTCTATAGGGGGGATTCAAAGAATGGAAAAAAAGAGCTGACCCAAGTGAAATTGAGTGAAGTTGAAACTGTGTGTGTAACTCAGTAACCAACCAGGTCATAATAATGTATGCAGAGTAGGTGGACTTCCAGGCTCTGAATTCCATAATTTGCACATGTTAAAAAAAATTGGGGTAAATTATTTAAGAACACCCCAGCGGGCAGTGTTTGGAGAAACACAGATGCATAATAAGATAGCTTGACTATTTATAATGAAATTGTCATGTAGAATTTACATAAAGTTATTAATAAAGCACAAAAACAATCTAGAATTGTGTAATTTTTATTCAAAACAAATTCTTTAAAAACTGATCATGAGATAACAGTAATGTGTACGTGTACAGTAATGTGTAATGTGTACAGTTATTGTAAAACAGTACATTTTTCAAAATATATTTCTTTCAGTCTCTCAATTTAGCCCAAAATGACAGCATCTGATTCCTAGATCATAAACTGATGGCTAATAATGTAATATAAATGTTTCACAAAGATCTGTGGTATCACATATAAAACTAACAATGGCTATGAAAGCTGGTATTTGAGCTTAGAGCTCCATGTAAAATTTAAATCTGAGTTTATTGTTCCAAATAATGAGATGTCCACAGTCATATAAAGCTGGAATAATTACTGCCCAGCAGTTTCAGTTCACATGCTACCCTGGCATGCTGAAATAGTAATTCCAATAAGATTCTAAAATTGCTTGAAACTAGTTCATAAAGATATAACTTAAACTTTTAGGTGGTACAGTGTTTTAAAAATGTTCTCCAGAAAGTCATTCCTAAGTGTTTCCTAACATTTCAATAAATGATAAATAAATAACCATGATATTGTGAATACAAAAAAAATTCTACATAGTGTCATTTGTGGGCTTTTTACCTCTTTGTTCAAGACATTATTAAGACCATTGCTTATCTACAAGCAACACTAATAATGTTGAATAATAATACAAGTTCCTCCATAGTGGATACAATTATTAATGCTTTAATAACAAAGCTACCAAAACCTATCAGAGGGAACATGAACTCATGTCTCTCTCTCTACAACAACTAATGTATATCAAGTCAATGATAAAATAGAACATTATGATATGCCACTTAAACCTGGGCTCCATCAAGGCCCTTTTTTTTCTCTTAACACAGGTTTTTTTCCTGAAGGTTGCAATTAACAACTTTTTTAACTTTTTCTTTGACAATAAATAGGTCCAGAAAGGATTTTGTTGTTTTTGTTTTTATGTGATTTCCACGAATTTGACAATTTAACTTAACAAGGTGCTTTGTTTATTGGTAAATCAGGGGTACACTTGTGCCCTTTGTTTTTTTTCTTATGTTCTTAACATTACATAGGGTAATACAATTTTTTTATTGCAGTTTCTTTTTTCTTCTATGTAACTTTTTCCTCTGTTATGGCATGTACCTGTCTTGAACGGTTCACTACTGGTATGGCAGGCACACTATACAGCTGATGCTTATATGTCAACTTTTTTTTTGACGTTTTCTGTCTCACTACTCCTCTCTCTCCATTTATGTAATCTTAAGTAAAGGAGCTGGTGAATGACGTGCAAACTGCAGCAGAGTGGAAACTGACTCCACATCACTTGAGAGGTTCTACAAAAAAGGAAACAAAAGGAAACTATCAATATTATATTTTGGGTTAATAAATGAGAGGAAGATGTAAATCCTTCCAGAGGTAAAAAATGTATTTATTTAGAGTTATATAAAAAATTCCATTTAATTAAAAAATTAATTCATGGAGCAATTTATACCTTGACAAGAACACAGTGTAGTGGCTCTCTTAACATCATGTGATGTTTTGTCATTTCAGACAGCTTGCAGCTGTTGTTCACCTGGTAACAGAGAGAAAAAAGACCTCATTAATCATTAATCATTAATCAAGGGTGACATGATATAAAACTCTGCTAATTTTTAATCCAAAAAAAATGCAAATTGTTCATGATTGCTCACCTTAATAACAGGGATTGCACATTCCCAGCAATATGCCTCAATTAGTCGGCAATGAACCTGGATTCCAGCATCTGCTCTTGGGTTTTCTACCAACACACACAATCCTATTGTATCTAGGTCACTACAATAACAAAAAATAAAGATAAGTTTGAAAGACCTTAAGTGTAGATCCTCAGTTTTGTTCCTTCTGTTAAGCCACAGAGATAAAGAGGGTCTTTGTGGGGGAAGGTGACCAAGGCAGAGCTAAAACATGACTGAAATGAGGGGGGCCAATTAAATTATTAAAAATAACCACTTCTGCTTGACAAGGAGTGAGGATGTCATGTATAACCTATGACCTGACCTTACACGTGCCCTTGTAAGCTGTATTTGATGAAAGAGTGAGTGATATATGCTTTGAAAATCTTAGAAAAAATGGAGCTCAACTTTCCTACTTTTTTTGTTTGCAATATTTGTTGATATTTTCTATCCTTTGTTAACCTCATTCCTCAATAGTTTATATATTACCCTTTTTGTGCCTTCTGTCTTACTTCCCAAATTAATATTCAGAGTTTTTTTTTTAAAAAATCCAAGGTAACTTTTGTACATTTCCAAGTGGTTTAAAATATTTTGATGAAGCCAACTATACCCTGACTCATAATCTCAAAAACATGTAGGAAATACAAATATATATATGTAACTTACACGGCAAGTTCATTAGCAGCATCGTGCACTCCACACACCAAGTGGCCATTGATTTGTGCTTGATTTAAAACTTCTTGCAAGGCCCAACGTATTTTCAGTCTATGAACCATATCCCTGAAAAATATCGAACGATAGCGATTATTATTAAGTTATTTGATCTGATGAAACAATTCGGAAAAATGATTCAGCAACACATTGTTTACAAAATGCATAATTATCCGCCTGTCCTCCTAACTACGAAAAACAATTTAAAGGCAAGCTTAGAGGAAACAAAAATACTGAAGGAATGCTGTACTGTAGCAAGAATTGTTTTTGATGCAAAATTAATTTTAGAACAAGACCTATATGATTTAGTCGGTCTGATTTCAACTGGACTGTCTCGTGACCTCAGTAATTATAGATGCAAAACGAAATCGAAATTCAATAAACACGTCATCTGCTCGTATGTTGCAGTTTTCAAATCATTTTGTGTAGATTTAAAATCCTGGAATTTTCCCGTTTCTTGGCTTAACTTCATCTAGTACTAAAAAAAATTGACAAAAAAAGAATAGAAGCCCGAATTTTCTACGAATAAAGCCAAAAATCGATGACCACCAACGTTTGAAAGATGTAAGCTACGTTCTGTAACGTTTCAGAGGCGTTGAAGCTAAGTGGAAACTCGTGACCAACAGTTCGCAATGTATTATGAAATGATCTTGCAGAAACACCACATGAATTCGATTCAGCTATGAAAGAAGCAATTTTGAGTGGATACGCCTTGCTCTGCCTTCTTTCTTAGAATAATTTGACTTTGTACCAGTACAAGTTCGACCGTGCGTTCTGTGCGAGTCACGAGTTAACATCGAACACTAAAACATAAGTCCTCGAATATTACAATCCTCATGTATAAACTTGTGAATAAAGTCACATTTGCAAGCTCTATGCGTTACAATTTAAGCAGAATCTAGTTGAAAAGGTTCATTTAACAGATTAACAATCGTGCAAATAAGAATTTCTGCGAAGATCGTAATTCCCGGGAAACATACCCTCGCCGGCTTCCAAGTGCTATTACATCACCCGAGTGATTAAAATAAGAGTTTCATCGAACTTACCCCATATTTTCTCTACAGAATTCGTCTGTCTCGTTCTCAATAGTTTCTTGAGTCATTCCTGATCTTCAGTAGTCGAATCAAATAAGAAAATATCTAACCCCAAGTAGACGTGTCACCCTCACGGATTGAACTCAACAACTCCTGAGGCAAATAGCTGACCAGCAAAATTTATAACACATATCACGTGTCTAACGACCCGGATACGACAAAGAACCATTGACGGGGGGAGGGAAAAGGTATTTTTCTAATAAACGCTCATATTCGAGGCAAAGAAATCAAGAATGTTTTGTCGTTTAAACTGAATGGAATTGAAAGCAATCTATTAATATATAATTGCTTTAAATTGAGTGGGAAGCGATCGATGTGTTTCCTGCCATCACATAGCAAAACAAACGGCATACCCCTTCCCAGAATTGAAATTGTTGTTCACCATTCCAAGCGGAAAATTCTTGGTATAACACCGGAAAACAAATTACGTCAAACGACAGCCCAAGCAAACAATATGTTAATTTTTGGGGCAAGCCCGTTCTGGAACTAATTCATGCAACGTTTTTTTCCTTGAAAGACAAACAAAGTCATATTCTTAGCCTTTTCGCTGAAAAAAAATCTACTCTCCCCTTCGTTCGACACTTAAGTTTTTCTAAATCACTTCATCAAAATTATAGCAGTTTTATTCACTTTTCATTTATTTTTTATTCGAGTGCTCGGAAGTCAACGACCTCCTGCATTCTTTTAAAGCTCTAGAAACCGCTTTGAAAGTCGCTGAAATGCGAAATCTTTTTTACCTGCTTCTGAATTGTCCAAAAAAAGACCATAAAACTAAATAGAACATCCAGAGGCAAATAAGAAAGCGGAAGCAAAGAGAAATGCACACGTTTTTGTTTTGTTTTGTTTTGTTTTATTTTGAGGTCCAAAAGTAATTCAGCGCACAGGAAAGAAGGAAAAATCTGAAAAGTGCAAAATGCATTTGATTTTCCTGTTATCGAAAAAAGGCAAGTCAAAGACTGAAAAAGAAAATTCAAAACATCTCATGACATTCAACCCTAACAACTTGTAAAAAGTTACTGGAAATATATTGTTCAATATATATGTTTTAAATTTAAAGGTAGGAAGTAAAAAGTGTATCAGCACGCGGTATTACAAATCAGCACGTTTTATTAGCTGTGCAAGGTGCATCTTCCGCTCGCGGTTGGCCATCTCTCAGTCTGGAATTAAAAAGAGGATTCCTAGCATTTTTTATTATTTTTTAACCTGCTATTTATTGAAGTTCTTTTCTCAACCAAGACGATAATCAAAACGATAATACTTCAACATAATGACCTTGTTCAGTGTCGCCCAGACAGGAAGTTTTTATTTTCATAACCTTTCAAACAGACTGTCATAATCAAAAATGGGACAGACACAGTACTACGTGAAATCGAGTTGGGTGGAAAAACCGCACAGTTAATGAAGGTTTGCTTGAACCGAACAGGCACGAGTCAAAATCTTGAAGGAAGACTTTAACACGTATGGCGACGAGGATTTTGAACTTTCCTTTATTAGAAGAGAACATAGTTTATCCACAATTAATTCGGCCTCACACTGGTGCGAGGATTATACTGAAATGAAAAACGCTCTTCTCGTTGTGGAGTTAAAGTCGCCATGAAGCGTGAAAAATAGAGTATTAGCCTGCCTGGGAGGGGGCGGATACGCAAATGCTTAACAAAAACAATTTTGTTCCGGTCAATATTCTGCATAAGAAGTCGTGTATGCCCGGCTTATTGCTTCCGGCTCTAAAGATATACAACAAGCTGAACTGCTGCTTGAGAGTTAAGACGGCGCTTTCACGCTGAAATCGCAACAGGACGGCCAAAAATCTTGAATGAACATGCGCGTCAAAGGATTCAATTATCCCGCCCAAATTCAAAGAGTAGTTACGTCAGCATTTTGAAAAGTTCAGCCCAGTTTTCCGTTTACTGATTCCGTTTACAATATTAGATTAACCCTATTTTTTTCTATCATCATTACTGTTCGTGGACTGAAAGCTTTTCTTCGTGTCATTCTTAACTCTTAACAGTTTTTTTAGTTTGAATGCAGTACTCAGTTTCACACGCTTTGTTTTGCCTCATCCATTACACCGATTCTGAACTCGTAATTTGTAGATATCAATCTTACTTAGGTCATATGTCTAACACCGTTGCATTGATTTTACTTAAAGCCATGTCCGTTTTCTGTTAGATTCGTGTATTACTACAAATCATCATATCTCTTAGCTTCTTGCGGATCTAGTTGTTAAAAAGTAATGATATTTTTGGCTTAATGTCAATAAGTTCCCACTTTCCTGAGAATCTTCGCGGGAAATGGGCGCTGGGGCTAATTTGTTTTAGATCGACAATATCAACATTCTTATCGCGTTTTTTCTCTAAGTAATAAATAGATAAATGTACTTTCATTATCACAAAAATAAGTACGGGTATCTAAGTCTGGCTCATTCGTACGTGAGTTGGTTTTCAGATGTAAATTATTAATGAATAATTTTAGCTCCCGCACTGCAGTTTGGAAAGCCATGATAATTAATAGCGACGTTATATAACGTCTCCGAAATATTTGTATATACATGTTATGTAACATTAACAAAAGCTATTTAGAGGAATAGTCAAAAGAAGATAGCCCATGAAGAAGTCAGTGGAATAAATTTGCTTATAGATTGGCTTCCCAAGGCAGAGAGCTTTTCTTTGTTTTATTGTCTTCTTTATGTCATCAAAACAAAAATAATATTCACCCCGGGAGCACTGCACAAACGTGACAACATATACACAAGTCCGAACACTCAAGGAAGTTTATACCACGTACAGTAGTTTTCATTCATGCCTTGCTACCGGAGTTGAAGATACGAAAAAAACGTGACAACATGATACGGAAGTACTGTAAAAACACAAAACAAAACTTGACAGTCGAACAGGACTGAAACCGAAAAAGTTTTTATTTAGTATGCAAAGACACGTTTCTTGAAAAACAGTACGTGTATATTCGATTTTAAAAAAGATCGGTCGGAAGATACATTTTCCCTCTCACAAAACAATCACACATTACGCGGCTGATACTTTTTCTGGAAACGATTGTCGTTAATTGGTCACGCAACTATGTCACGCAACCTTTACTCGTTTTGTTTTTCTAACTCACTTCTTGCACCGCGTTTTTCCCTCAATCCAGTCAAACTGATCAATCATTCTTTTTTCCACGTTTTTCTTCTACTCTTTTCTCTTTGTGTTTATTTCGTTCATATTTTTCCCGTCTGTGTGATCTCGAGTCATGAGAGTCACTTTCAGTGTTACTTTTATAATATCTGTCTTTTTCAAGTTTCCCTTTTCTTCGAGTTTTTGACCTGTGTTTGTGATGCACCTTTTTATTCTGTTCCCTCATCTCTTCACTTAAACTTTTACCGGAATTTTCTTCATCTGATGGCCTTTTTCTCTTCTTTTTACGATCTTTTTGCTGTTTTCTTCTCAAACTATGTTCATTGCTTCTAGCCTTACTAGTCCTTTGCCGTTTTCTTTGCAGTTCATCACTATTCTCACTTTCTTTATTTGATACATCTGAATCCAAGTCACTTTCTTTCTTTTCTCTCTTTCTCTTCTTGTGTTTTTTGCTCTTTGAGTCAACTCTGCAATTCAAAAAGTTTTCTTTCAGCAATGGGATCATGATGAAGATCTAACTCCAGCCTCTGTCCCAACCTTTGCCCTCTTTGCCACTGCACAAACTCACTTTTCACTGCTGGATTCAGTATATAATGCAACTTTAGAAGAACTATATATCCATAGGGATATAGGCATTTTTGACATTACATTGAATAAGTTCAAAAAAAGCAGAGAATTTCATAAAACTTAGGCCCTTTGCAGTACTTTTTTTCCTTTTTCCTCCTCCTTTTTGTAGATATTTTATTTTTCTCACTAAAGGGTTCTTTGTTAACATCCTCCGTATAAAGTTCTTTATAACCATTAAGCCCCTATCTGTGAGCAAATAATTGTAATTTTTTTCATACAATAATCTTAAATGCTCACTTAAATTGAGTTTTCCAACTAGATCAAATGAGTTATTCTCTCAGTAAGAAAACAAACTATCTTCACATACTTATGTTTTTTCCTTTTCTTCCCATCAAAATTTTTAGCTTTTTTCTTATTATCTTCATTCTCAAACTCCTCTGGATAGAGTTCTTTGTAACCCTCATGACCCCATCTGGTAATAAAATATAACAGCTTAGTTACAGAATAAAACAAAATCATACACCTTTATGTTAATATTTCATCTTTTAGAAGTGATTTACACAAAAATGTGTTCTACATTTTCAATAATTCATCCATTTCATTACCAAAATGACTAGACAAATTTATCATCTGGAAGATTTTATCTTGATTTAACATCAACAAAACAAAATGTATGAAGCATCTACAAGAAAGAATTTAGACACAAGGAGTAAAACTATCTAATTTCTTTTTACAGTATCCCCCTGTATCAACAATAAGGTCTCATGAATAAAGGAAATGATCACTGACTAAAGAAGCTCTTGATTATTAGACAAATTCTCCTTGTCAGCATCATAGGATATGTATGAAGAGTAGTATGAAGAATATGCTTGCTGATGTTTGCATGCAAAAGGTTAACAGAGGTACACATGTGTAAATGGTAGTAAGTTAATTTTAATATTGACCTGATGAACTTCAGCTAAACAAACCTTTGAGAATCATTTGCTTCAAAATCAAAGAGTTGTTGTGTCCAATAACTACTTCTGGGTGGTAATGTAGTGTCGTCATCATCACATCTCATCTGCCCTTTGTACCTTGGGACAGAATAATGATAAAAACTCAAACTCTGGCTCCCCTAGGCATTCCATAAAAAAATAAAACAGCCTTAAAATAGTAACAGTAGAATAGTAGTAGTAGCAGTGAAAGGAAGTAAGGAAATGACGAAATGACTTAAAAAAAAGGTAAGGACAAAGAGGATCCTTAAATACCAAACCTTCCATTTTCACTGGAGTTTCATAAAATAAAATAAAAATAAGAATTAAAGGTTACTCTCTATCCAAATTTAGGCTCATTCCATTATGTTTTTAATAGTTTGGTAATCAATCTAGCATAAAATGTGCTTGCACATCTCTTCCACAACCAAGATCTTATTAGTAATTGTTTATGGTGTTTGCTCTATATAATTCTTAGAATGTAAGTTTGGGTTATTTGGTATCAGATCTAATTATAATCATCTAATTGATATTTTTAAATCTCATCACTTGTCTGCTTGATATTGTATAGATATTGTGTGGAGAAATTATTTCCTAGCCACTCTCGGGAGTTAAAGGGATGTGCACACAATAAGGCATGTGATTACATTATACAAGCTTGTGTTTAGTTCATACCGTTTAGAGTCATTTGACAATGTAGCATTGCTCCCCTTAATTTTACTGTTCATCAGCTCATACTGCTTCCACATTTCACTTTCCTCTTGAATCTTAGTAATGAAAAAATAACCAAATAGTTACGAATTTATAACACAAAAAGGGAAAGATCAACAGTAAAACTGGATTGAACGACTTACGTAAAATGAACTTAATGCTTATACGGCGCACAAACCAGTATTTTTCCCTCGACTAATATCATTATGGCAAGAATATAATCTTAACCAATAACTGAAAAAAAAGAAAGAGATGGTGAACTTGCTACACCAGGACCAGATAAAAACTTGTGGAGTTTCCAAACAACACACAAGATCTCGTTAACGACGATAACTTAACTTGACAACAAACGCAGTTGTCTTACTTTTTATCAGAATTTTTGAATAAAACTTTCACCTTATCTAATTCACATCAGGATATTATATCCTTACCTTATTGTGAGCATCAGTGTGTCGAATAACGTTCTTCAAAAGGCCCTTGTCTATAACCTTACGCTGGACCGCCATCTTGGAAATTACATGGATCAGACATTTGGCCTGGTCACAAAGCTCTAACGAGGGTTCCCTTTCAAGCGTGTCTAATGAGAGGTTATTTGACGTACGCAGTTGATACTTTATACTGGTTTATAACTCACTTATTAGGTAATGTCCCAGATTTAATTTTCAAATGGCTAGAGGAGACTCGTATATGTTGATGAGGGAGGAGACCAATCCAAACGTGTTTGTGGTGCAATCGAAACAAGCTCGTGCGCCAATAGCGTCGATGGAACGAACAAGAAAACTCTTGATTGCATTCGTTATTGTCATGGGAATTCTAATTATCTTCCTGGTGGTTGTGCTAGAGCACATTATCAAGAGCTCAAACGCAAAAACTGAGCAAACAACTGGGCCATTCAGCAGCAATTGCACGATAACTTTAGTGGAAAGCATTCCTGAAAATGTCACATTCTCAGCAGGATCGGTTCAGAATCCAAGCATCTATGATGGCTGGATGAATCTCCTAGACATCGCAGAGGAGCGGATCGACATAGCATCGTTTTATTGGACATTACAAGGAAGCGATACGAAAACCACAGATTACAGTACCGAAGAAGGAGAGACTGTATTCAAGAAGTTACAGGATGTTGCTAAAGCAGGTAGAGATACTTCTTGTGTGAACAAAAGGCGCATGTTATCGAATGCTGAGAAGGTAGCATATGCGTGATTTTTGAGGAAGACCACCTACTGCAAAGTGCCATGGGGGAGTCCCGGAGTAACACTTGTTTTAGAGAAAAGACTAAACCCTACAAAACTATTACACATTGGGCACCACCTCTGGTTTCATTTACTCACTAAGAAACAAGCACAAAGTGCAAGGGACTGGAGATTAGTGTGAGGCCTAAGGGGCAATGCTCCCTTCCTCCTCAGTGCCCCTCACTGGATTTTTAGCAGAGAGACTTCTTATATTGTTGTAAATTTTTTTGCAACAAACAATCACACTAGTTCGATGTACACTTTTTATTCTTCCAACTCACCAGCAATTCTGATCTCACAATCAATAATCCTAAATCACCTATCATGAACCTATCAACAAGCTCGCTGTAACACTTAGGTCATGACAGTATGTTTTCCCATTTAAGGCCAAATGTAATGGGGGTGGCCTTCACATGCAAGTGAGGTACAGAACACCTGGCGTGGTACTCAATTCTTGTTAAGTATAATTGATCTACTAATACTTAGCACCAAGTTAAAGACAAAACTTTGATATTCTGTTTTTTTATTCTACCTCTTGTTTTGCCTTCAAGGTGTTAAAATCCGAATTGTACAGACACCTCCTACTGATGCCTTCCCCCAGATAGACACAAATATCCTTTCCAAGGAAGGGCTTGCAGATGTACGATCATTAAACATAACACGTCTGGTTGGCAGTGGAATCTTGCACACTAAGATGTGGCTTGTTGATGGTAAACACTTTTATGTTGGCAGTGCAAATCAGGACTGGAGAGCACTCACACAGGTACAGCTCAGTGAATACTTTTAATCTGAGTAAGAATTGCTTTCAAGGATTTTTTTCTCTCTGAAGTTTATCAGAGTAATACTGAGAAAGCCCTTGCTTATTCACATGTAGGTAAAGAAA